AAAGCCACCGGCATCTTGCCTTTTCTTGATCTTCGAATTCAACTCGCTCTCTTTCGGACAGCAGGTTGACTTCGCACCCGGACCTTCCCGTTTGTACAGTTCTGCACAGCATTTGTACAACTCGTCGATCAACTGCGCACAACTGGATTCGTTGTAGTTGCTTTTCTGGAGACAGGATTGGATCGCGCACTGGAATGGGAGGACAAGGTTTGGATTCGTTAACAAAGCCCTCGTGTACGCATGTGTAGAGGCCAGGAGGAAAGGAAACTGGAATGACCCACTGCACGAGGATAGCAAGGCGGGTCCGCTCGTAGAGCTTCGTCAAGTGTCTTTGGCTGTGAGTGAGGTAAAAAACGGCAGTTTCATGTCAGCGAGATATAATGGCATTGTGAAACTTATGGCCTCGGAGAACCACAAGGCGGATGGGTAATTGCCGTACCATGTTGGCCGCGGAGTGAGGGTAAATTAAAAGAAGATCGGGTCAAATTCGCCGAATATCGATGAGATCTAGCTCCCGTCTCAGCTGTCATGTCATTCCATCGAGTTTATAGGAAAGGGTAGCGGTCACAACTCGAAGTGTTGCATGACAGGGCACGGGCAAGCAAGGAAGCAGGTAGGTACGGTACATGTAAGCACTCAGGGTTCAATTCAAACAAGCAGACAGATCAATGAAGTCATTGTTATTGAGGGAAAATGGTGACCAAAAGGTCGTTGACCCATATGATGGCCAGCCTAATCAATTGTGGGGTTCCGGTACTTCTACATACAGTACCTACAAAGCTAGACTCATGCTCAAACATCACGATTTCGGTATTTATCCAGAGTTACTGAATGGTGAGGCTTTAAAACTGAGGCAAGGACGGGGTTTTGCAGGGGTTACATACAGGTACTCTGGGTGGATGAAGTAGCTACATGAAGCTATGAATCGTTTTGAGATGTGATGTTGCAGGCCCGCATCTCACAATCAGCCTCACCTGGCGCCAAGCCACACCAAACCCCTCCTACTGCGTTAGTGAGAACTCTCCAGAACGGCCCCTTCAACCCCAGAAACATCCTCCACTTTACCAACTACCACCTACAACTCCACCACCACCGCCCCCCCCTCTCCTTCCTCCACATCAACACAACCGATACACACCCCACCCCTGTTTTCCTCCTCATTATCACCCCCATCCACTCTCAACAGAACACATTTTAGTGTCTAGACAAACATTTCAAAATGAGCACAGAACCCGGTGCCAACGACTCATCGATCCCTCCCCCAAAGCCCGAGGAGGCCGCCAACGAGCACCTTAATATCAAGGTCACAGACGGAAACAATGAAGTCTTCTTCAAGATCAAGCGCACGACCCAGCTGAAGAAGCTGATGGACGCGTTCTGTGACCGTCAGGGAAAGTCCCCGACCAGCGTCAGATTTTTGTTTGACGGGACCAGGGTCCAGGGCAACGATAGTCCGCATACTGTGAGTATTCCCTACATGACTAGATTCTGTCTAGCATTCAGGCTTTTTTTACACGCGTTTCTCTCTCATGCCTGCATTCTTTTATTTTTCCACATGCGGAGGATTGTTGGTTGGGGGGGGGTGTCATGATGTATGGTTTGCCTATCATCTAGCTCTCCACTCGTTTAGCAGTGGCGATTAGAGTTTGGCACGCGTTCTTGACTATCCCTGGCACGCTGAACCGCCGATCTATCCTGTCATCCTCTTCGCTTCCTATTATTTGCTTGTTACTTCTTATCTTCCGTCCAGCGAGCTTGTCCGAAAAGCGCACCGAGTTTAGCTCAGCCTACTCAGAACTTTGGGGGCATTCACAATTGGGCTGCCTTACAGATATGTTTCGAGGCTTTTGCTCTTGTCCCGATAAGGGCAATTGCATAAACCTTTCTATTATAACTGTCCAGTTGTGGATGTCTTTATCAGAAGCCAGCTGTTTTTTTTTTTCTTCTCTATGCAGTCACTAGGCTGCCAAATACTGCAATATTTCGGTTTCCATTTATTTAGGATGTTTCACGCTAACAAGCCTTCATCAATATGTAGCTCGATATGCAGGATGGTGATACCCTCGAAGTCCATCAGGAGCAGATCGGCGGTACCTTCTAGATTCCTCACCATCTACACCACGATAATCCTCTGAGCTTACACCATTTATTGAACGCACGGATGGGAGGCAAAAAAAACTCAATTTCAATGGAGGATAATTCCGGTACATGTGGGGGGGGGAACATTTTGTTAAAATCGATTTGGAGGGTGTGGGGAATTTGTTAATGATTCTTTTTTCTGTTCTTCATTTCTTAACGGTTTGCTTTTTGTCGTCCTTATTGTTCTGATAGTCCCATTGTTTTACCTGATTCCATCAACCCACAACAGACAACGCATAACGGTCGAGTCCGAAGTATCACCCATTCTCCTCGGGGCTCACATATAACCCTTTTTTTCAACTCTCTTGGAACTGGTACGTAAGGTCTATTGGGGAGTCATATTATTTTTTTGTCCCCTTTTTTTGTTTTTTTTTACTTTCCTTTTATACTGGTTCTGGCGTAGATAGGGCAGAGAATTTTTACGCGAAAATGGTATCTACAACGTTATGATAAAATTGTCGCCCGGGAGCCCTTTTGGGGGCTGTTCCTTTTTCCTATATCGATTTCTCTTATTACTCCGTAGCTAGCACTTCCGTCCGTATCCTAAACTGGCATTTACTTGTGTAGTTGTGGTGTATGGTTGTGGTGTGCGGTGTGCATGGTGTGTCTTGCGGTATTGCTTGCCTACTGCTCTTATACTATATATAGCGATTTCCAGCTATGTCGTTATTCCTATTTATCCCGGGTATCTGGTTATATCTACTACCTCGGACGAAAGAGAGAGAGGACTCGATATATGTAGTTGTGCACACTCGAGAATTGGCCCTTCGTGTGCTACTACATGTAGCTATCGAGAATGAGAACAGGTTTTTTGTCCGCACCGACTCGCTCGGGGGTTGGGCAACGGCATGTATGCTATTATCGAGAAATATACTAGGCATTGTCGAATATACCACAATCGGAACCTCCATGTCTCCCAGCAGTACAGACAGACCCACAGAATTCAATACCACATTACTACATGCAGTACCAATGATTCCCCCCCCCCCCCCCCCGCAATAGTAATGATGCGCAGTCATGAGATATCACTCGGCGCCGTTACACGCCCGGCTGGATGTAGACTAGCGCGGAATTGGGCACTGGGGGGATTGTTCACCGGCTTTTTTTGGCGGTACAGTCCAGGCCTATGTATTGCTGTAGTGAGGCCGATCCAGACCGAAACGTTTGGGAGAAAATTGGTGGTGGAGGATCTAGGGTTAGGTTTTGCGGGGTGTGGTTGACGTTGAATTGGGGGGTGGGAGGTGCTGTTGCGGGTGGTGGGAGGAGTCGGACTTTGGGGGTTTGAGAGGGGGGGGGGGGGGTGGGTGGGTTTTGGTTCTTTCCCGTGCGGGAGCGATATTGGGATTGGGATTGAGTGCTTATTTCTTTATGGTGGGTATGTACCGTTATAGAGTATAGAATCCTTGTCAATAATATCCTTGTATCCTTGTTGCTGCTGTGTTTTCCCTCAGAAACAATGGCGGGCCGGGTGGAGTATGAATGCTCCTCAGGCAGACAGACTGAGAGGACCGGTGCTCGGTGCAAAAGATGTTTGGCCGTGCAATACTACCTAGAGCAGGTGTAGATTCGCATTCTGCGATGTTTTTCCCATGGCCAGAGCCCAAGCGTGCACCGTTTCCTCCACATCATCCATCTGCATATGAAAAACAGCTTCCGCACGTTTCCATCACTCGCACGTAGGTACAGTACAGTCACTCACTCACTCACGTACGCGGGCGTTCAGCACTCGGAGTCAGCATGATCACTTCGCACCAAACACCGCAACACCTGGGGGCTGTGCTGTGCTGTGCTGTGCAATGCGATGCTGTGGTGCAATATATCCTGGCGACAATTCAGACCTGTACTTCAAGTTGATTGCAGCACCTCCACTATAAGGGACTACATCTACATAGAGTACATGATGCTCTGAATGTATGCCCGGGGAGTCATCACATCGTACTCCACTCTACTACTACTACTACTACTGTCTGTCACGATGGATCTAGAGAGTCCCGACCTGCACTTGTGTAGTTCCTCGAGTGCATACTGTGCTTACCAGGTCTCCCTCCCTCCATGCAAACACGCGCCCACGATCATCGCACGATAGGTCCAGCGTGACAATGTCAACACAAACATCGGGGTCATCGCGGACTCCCTCCCTAGTGCCTACCTGCCCACCAGGGTGTGTAGTGTGTGGTGCATGCACATTCACACAGCTATATGAGTACAATGAGTGACGTATTTTTTTTTTTCCCCCCCGCCGGCCGGGCAGAAGGAGCCTCGAGTAAATGGGGATTAAACGGGCGGCGTTAGCAATTCTTCCACGACGTGCTCGTTGGAGGAAGCCGCCGGGGGGCTCTCCTCATGTGTGTCGAGTGCGCCGGTAGAGTAGGTGGTTAAGGTATGTGTAGATACATATTACATGAAGAGTAAGCATTCCCATCGAGCGATCTCGGGATAAAGTTGTGTCTGCGTGTGGGTGTGGGTGTGGGTGCACCCGCACTGCACTGCACTGCACTGCACTGCACTCGCCTCGCCTCACCTCACCTCACTCACCTCACCTCACTTCCTCACCTCGCTTCCTCACCTCGCTCACCCGGCTCACCGACCTCGGCTCCAAACCTAAACCCCGCCAAACTCGGCTAACCCGATCAGGCATTGTGCACTTTCGTCATCCACAGCAAGCAACCAAGCAACCAAGCAACCAAGCAACCAAGCAACCAAGCACCAGGCAAGCTCCCCCCGCCCTACTACAACCACTACCACCAAACCTCCAGACGCACCTTCCCTCCCGACCCCACGATCCAGCACCACAAACCCCAGCCAAACCCACCGATTCACACACACACCCCACTCACTCACACCCCACTCACTCACTCACAATGCTCCTCCCGCGCCTCCTCCTCCGCCGCACCACCAGCACCATCGCGCGATCCACACCCCGCCAATGCGTCAAGCTCGCTGCCAGTACGACCCAGCAGCGGTTCTTCGCGGCTGCAGCGCCGCCGGTGGAGGGCGCAGAGCTCGACAGGACACCGCTGGACGCGCTGCACAGGCGCAATGGCGGCAAGATGGTCCCGTTTGCGGGATACTCGATGCCCGTGCTGTATGAGGGCGTGGGCGTGGGCGATAGCCATCGGTTTGTGAGGGAGAAGAGCGGCTTGTTTGATGTTTCGCATATGGTCCAGCGTCGGTTTGTGGCCCTGTCTTGTGCTGTCTATTGTGTTTTGAAGTCTCTCTCTTTTTTCTTTTTTATGGATTGTGGTGGAATTGGTGAAAGTGGTGAAATTGGTGAAATTGAAGCAATTGCTTCAATTGAAGCACAAGCAATTGAAGTAATTGAGTGACTAACATACTTCTCCTCTCCGCCGCCCACAGCTTCGAAGGCCCCGGCGCCCTACAATTCCTACAAACCATCACCCCCACCGACCTCACCGTCCTCGAACCCAACCAATCCACGCTCTCCGTCCTCCTGCACCCCGTCACCGGCGGCATCGTCGACGACCTCATCATCACCCCCGAGAACCCCTCCTCCGTCTACGTCGTCACAAACGCCGCCTGCAAGGGCAAAGACAACTACTACTTGACCCACCAACTCGCGCACTTCAACACCAACAGCCCCGGCGCCGACGTGAGCCACACCGTCCTTGCGGACCAAGGCCTCATCGCCCTGCAGGGCCCGCTCGCAAAGGATGTCCTGCAGGAATACATCGACTCCACGCCCGCGCGCGGGAAGCTCGACCTCAGCACGCTGTACTTTGGCTATGCCACCACCGTTGCCGTCCCGCTCGGCGCCGGCAACATAGAGGAGCTGCATATTGCGCGCGGCGGCTACACGGGCGAGGACGGGTTTGAGATCTCGATCTCGCCGCGCAATACTGAGGCTGTGACGCAGGCGCTGCTGGACGTTGGCGCGAGGGGGGATAGGGTGAAGCTGACGGGCCTGGGCGCGAGGGATAGTCTCAGGCTGGAGGCGGGGATGTGTTTGTATGGCCATGATATCGATGATAGTACCACGCCTATTGAGGCGGGGTTGAAGTGGCTGGTGGGGAAGAATAGGGTTATGGAAGGGTATGTGTGATTTGGAGCTACCCCCCCCCCCCCCCCCCGGGGGAGCATCTTTCTTCTTCTATTCCTAGCACTGATGTTGTGGTTTGACATGGAACTAACAGTACGCCACACAGCACATTCAACGGCATCGAGACAATCTCGCGCCAATACAACGACTGGAAACAAGTCACCCGCCGCCGCGTCGGGCTCATCGTCGACGGCGCGCCCGCGCGCGAGGGCGCAGAGATTCTCGAGAAGGGCTCTGACAACGTCATTGGTACCTCCTCCCCCCCTCGCTTTCCTCCCAGGTGCATAGCTGACAAGAGGAACAGGCAAAGTAACGTCCGGCTGCCCGTCGCCAACACTGGGGCTCAATATCGCGATGGGATACGTCCAGAGCGGCTTCCACAAGAGCGGCACGGAGGTGGGTGTCAAGGTGCGCGGGAAGGTCCGTGGGGGGAAGGTGACGAGGATGCCGTTTGTGGAGACGGGGTATTATAAGCGTCCTTAGGGGGGGTAGTTTGGGGGGGGGGGGGCGGTAGGGTAGTTAAATAAAAGTGCTTTTTTTTGTGTGTGGTAATGGATTGAGTGGGTTGGCTTTGTAGATGACTGAGGTTATTGAGGTGGTGGTGGAAGGGCTGTGGATGTTAGATAGTTAATCGTGTAAGTTGCTGTTTTGGGGGTCGTGGTGATGGAGGGAAGGGATGAGTGATATTTCATGATCCTGTCCCACCTAGTCCCACCCACACAACCAGACCGCTCCTATATCCCACCATACCACCCAATCCTAACCATCCATGAGTAGCCGTCCCGCCTACACACAAATCACAGCGAGAATCCTCCCCCTAGCAGCGCACGCGGGGGGCCGGCGAAGAGGGCCCGCAGTATGGGCGAGAGCCAATGATCAAATCAACAACAACAAAAGTCGTCGTCGTCATGTGAGTTGCGTTGGTCTTGCTTTGCTGTAACCGGGGGGGGGGAATGGTGGGAAGTGATGTGCGCAGTGAGTCCTAGTAGGGCTGTGTTTGTTGTCGAGGGATACATGTAGGGAGGTTGGGGTGGGGTGGGGTGGATAGGAGGCTCTGCTGCGGTGTTGTGTGTAAGTATGGCGCTTTTGAGGAAGCGGGAGTGCTGGACGGGAGGGAAAAAAAAAAAACCTACCTGTGAGGCTACCGGTGAGGTATGATGGTACAGGTATCGTTATTCGGAGAAAGTTGGTAAAGTGGGTTAGTGTGTGATCTGTTGAAGGGATTCGTGGGATTCTAGTCGTAGACTATTAAGGTCTGTGGTGCGCGTCGTATGTAGGGAGGGCCCTTTCCCCTTAACGCTGGTTAAAAGGAGGGGGAGAAGGGCGGCCCCTCTTCTCTTTTATAGTTATAGTAAGGGAAAAACTCGGCTTTCTAGCAGATAGTTTAGAGCCACTTCGAAACTACATTTTAACGTAGCGTTGGTAACTCATATCTGTCCACCCCCCTCAAAAAATAACAAAAACCATCTGTGGTGCTTGGATACAATCATAGTTCATAACTAGCGCAGAGAATACGATTAATTGAATACTGTGGTTATAGGATAGAAAGCTAGATCCGTTATAAGTGTTGCAAGGCCAATGTTTAGGTCTAGTGCCGCAATGCTATCCGGCATCTGCTTTATATATGCTTTCTACAAGCCAAACTCCTGCACCGCAGTGCTCATATTCTGCTATTTTATGTACAAACTCTACGTAAGATAAGGTCTAAAGACGCTCCATACCGCACTTCATAGCTCCGGCGGGGTGGATCGAAGTTCCGCAAGGTCTTGTGCACGGGTCTAGCAATACTATCACCGGACAGTCTCCAACTGCCGCATAAGAGTATTCTACTACGACCCCCCGGAGCTCGGAACTCGGAATCATGCGAGTCAAGCGTGTATTCATTCCAATACCACAAACGAAATAAACAAGCTTCTTACTGCATGGTCTTCCCAAAAAGGTCGGTTGCCAAGGCCAATAAATCACAACCCTAACCCTGGTGGTTAAAAATAGCTTTGTTACAACCTTCACCGAATGTGTCGCTGTGCCGACAACCACAACCACCGGACTCACCGAGAGAACTTCCTGCAACGAAAAATGTGGATGGAAGATATCACGGATTGCGGCTTCGGCCGGTGAAGCCGTGAGTCGTAGTTATGTCCTGGGGAGTTGTATGAGCAGGATTGGCGCCTGTTTGCAGTAATTCGGAACCCAGATGGAATTCGAGTGGGCAGTAAACTCGGCTTCAGCTTAATATAGTAGTCGCTTGATATCTAGACATGTGTTTTTGGTAAGTGGAGAGTGAATTGGCGTCTAAACAGATTTCAGGATATGTGCTGAAATATGAATTTCTCCTCTGATAGCTAGAGAAGCGATGGTTATCATGAACCTGCCAACCGTGTTCTTGAACGGAAAAAGCGGGTCTTGGTATCTACCATACGAGTCTAATATATAGAGAGAGGGAAACAGAGGCTATGGGGTGGCCCAGAAACGTTCACCGAGCACTGACTAGACTCGGATATCGAGATCCTTTATTAAGTTGTCTGACCTGATGTCAATATTGTATTAGTATTAGTATTCAGCTAGTACTCCCACAAGCTTGTTATACTTAAGCAGCCTCCCGAGCTTTTTACCGTCAATGGATGCTGCTGTCCTGATTTACCTGGGTAGCAAACATTATACCTTTCTTTCTTTCTTTCTCCTTCGTTAATCCAGCTGGCCAGGTATCCAGGCAGGTCCTCAACGAAGCAAATTAGACTAAACCAGTCCTTCCATCCATTCCGTGCAGCGCGCTGCACACACCCATTCATAATACCTAGATTTATACTTTCACGATGTTTCTCCCCACGCACCACATGTTCCCCGTGCTCCTCACGGCCCTCCTCTCACTCACCTACGCCGGCGCACAAATCCCACCATCTTGGTCTACAAACTTTACGCCTGCCACGCTCAAGCTCGAAGCCACCTACTCAACCAACATCCGCCTGACCTCTGGTAGCGCCGGCGGTAACCTCTTCACCAGCGAGGCCTCCACCCCGCCCACATTCCGCCTCAGTGACGAGTCTGATCTCTCCCCGGGCGCGCGATACACCATCCTCCTCCTTGACCCGGACACGCCGGCGCTCGGTGGGAATGGCGACGAGTCATATCTCCACTTCCTGGGGACAGGTTATGCCCTCCGCGACGGGGCAGCGGATGCGGATGCGAGGCAACTGATCTCCGAGAGTAAGCCGAAGGTAGAGTACCAGGGCCCCAAAGACGCGGATGATGACCATCGCTATGTGGTGCTGCTGTATGTGCAGAAGGATGGGGCCGAGCCCGCGGTGGCGGAGACAAAGAGGGAGGAATTTAGTGTTGAGAAGTTTATGAAGGATAGTGGTATTGGGCAGCCGGTGGCGGGGCTGTATTTTCAGACGGCGAAGAATGGTACTGGGAAGAGGAGGAGGAGAGATGAGGTTGATGATAGGATGGCGGGGATTGAGAGGGTACCATTGGGAGTGTTAAGGAAGAGGGGCAATCTGAGGGATTTGGATAGGGAGGTGAGGGGCAATATCGGGCGGTTGTGGCCAACAGGACTATATAGGAGGAATGTGGTCAAGGGGCGTGACGAGGCGTGGAAGAAGAAGGTTGCGGGCTTGGGACCGCGGAATGAGAAGAGGGATCTATTAGAGGAGCTCGACGAACACTGGAAGGAGAAAGTTGAAATCCTGGAACCACAGAAACCAAAGCGACAGCTCATCGAAGAGCAACAGAGTGATGAGTGGAAACCGACTGTTGCGAGCCCGCAGTACTCAAAAAGACAACCGATAGATGAGCTCGATAATGCCTGGAAGGAGAGGGTTGCTGGTCTGGGACCACGGAACCCCAAGAGGCAGGCGATAGAAGAGCAGCAGGGCGATGAGTGGAAGCCGAGTGTCGCGGGACCACAGTACCCGAAAAGAGAATCGATAAACAAGCGTGATGAAGCGTGGAAGCAAAAGGTTGCTGGGCTAGGCCCACGCAGGAAGACTCGTAGAAAGAGGAGAGGTCCGTTGGTGTAAAGCCCCAGGAGAAGTTTCTATATAGACGCCGTAGATTAGCTAGGTAGTCGACATTAATATATGAGCATTTATGAAGCATCAGTCGTGCTAGTAGCTGAGGCGTGAGTGTGAGAGTAAAACAGGCGAGAGATCCAGGAACGAGGGTGCGTTAAAATTGAAATTTATCGCCTAGAGCCTCTATATCCAACCTTATCAAGATCTTAATTCGTGTATGCCACACACAATGCTGTCTGGCGAGGATGGCCCTGCAGTTGGGAATGGTAACCAGAGATATATTTGCTGTATAGCGCAAATTTTCGCGAAGTCACGCCCGGTGATGACAGCTATTTGACATAGCCTAGAATGGCTCATAATGTTGGGCTCGAGATCGTGAAACTCATATTAACCACTACCAGGAAGTTTCCGCTTGTGGGGTTTGTTGAGATAAAGCGAGGTTGTGAGGGGATCTAGAGTAGATAGTTTGACGGATAGACGCAATAGTCGGTCTAGCCAACTATCGCAAGGGACAAGGTGTTGGCATGACAGTTTCGTTATCAGAGTTAATTCCTTGGCAGTCGAGTGATGCTCCATGACGATAAGCTACATTGAATCGTTTTTTAGCTGTCCCGCCTCATGAGGGACTGATGTCGCAGTTCGAGCCCGTGAGGATATAGGACTGAGTTCGGCTCTCCTTCTGCTTGCGGCTCAAGGAAATCATACTTCAAGCTGCCATCATTCCCGAATGCTCTCAGTTTTTAAATTCGGCCTCGCAGAATGACTGCTGACATCAACTCTACTAGGGAAACTATAATGGTACGTGCTCTAACATCAGGGATGATTTTCACGGTGCAAGGGGTTTAGTCCTCATAAACATCACAGGAACGCTTATGGGAAAGAGACACCCCCCCAAGCCCCCTCCCACCGTAGAAATCCGGGCTCCATGTCACTGGTTGGATTGGACTCGGGCCTTGTTAAACATGGATGTCGCTATCCACCCCTCACATCCTTCCCCAGGAATCTCCCGGCTTGGTATCTCTCCCACTCAGACTGCTCAACAGCTTGTGCCGACACATCCACCAACAGAGCTTCTGGACGTAGGCTATGAGGAGGAATTCATCTTGTACTTCTCAGTGAAGGTCAGACAGGTCTCCTCATTAGCACGAGAGCTAGGCAGTACCATGACAGTGGATTGTAACTCAGAGATCTATGGCATTGCACCAATCGGTTGGCACAAGGCGCCTGAGGGGACGGGGCTGACGTTGCTTGATATGGCTGATGTGGGCGGAGGATGGGGTGGGGGGTGGGGGATGGGGGATGACACTTAGTGCGTAAGTGGGTGTGGATTATGCAAACATATGTTCCCCAGTTCCCTAGACTATATGTCATACCCCTTTGGCGCACTTTTGGGAGAGACAATGACGTCGATGTGGATGTACATTCCAAGAGCTGGGATCATTTGAATATAGGATATCGAGTGATTTTCTGTGATTGACCTGGATATGATGATGGTGCTGTGGGGATGCTGAAGCAGTCTCGTACCCTGGCTCTTGGCTGTTGATATCCTTGAGTCGAACGTGCAATATACCGGTATTTTTCACGGCCTCAATGAGATTCACGATCAAATAAGTGTGGGGCGGAAGATTAGACAAGGCTTGGCAAATGGGGTATAACACTTACATAGCTGGGATGGAACATAAAATGCGAGTAGGAGTGCCCGACATCTTGAGACCCTGAGCTCTAGGTGATTTCTCGGCTTCAAATGATCTTCCACTGGCCATGGCTTCCTGAGTTGTCGGTGTATCGTCACAAAAATGATGGGCCGGTTAGCGTAGTTTTGGAAGTGCTAGCGCGGCTCTTGATCTGGCCTTGAAATTCAAAGATTAAATTAGTCGTGTCCACACACATTCGAACTTAGGTACAGAGTCCGCTCAGCCGAACTGTTTTCGTCGTCGACCCTTCTCCTCATTCCACTCCCCTTAGCTTTATGTGTCCCCGGCTCCAATCTCAATGCTTGAATTATCTGGCCTTTAAATAAAGACACGTTCTTCAATTCATAATAAGGGATAAGCACCACCTACCGTGCCCTTTGGTTCCCTTTTCTCTTCTATATCATCTCTTAATGGATGGACGGCTGAGCTGAAAGGAAGAGTGTGTGGTAGCGGCAAAGTCATGGATGGAATTGACACTGATATGTTCGGCACCATCGTTCTTCGATAAAACTGTCAATCTCGATACATGTGGGGGTTGCAGTTGGTGGGGCCGCTAGGTATGATCAAGAACTCACTCAAGTCTCGATGAAACAAGTAGCTGATTGCTGATTTATCATCTTTTCTTTTCTGGATCATCTTGAGCATGAGGCCTCACATGACTCTTGGGATGTCTTGAACCTGCTACTCAAGACAGTACACGAGAACGTTACACGAATTGCACCGCACGTCGGACAAGTTGGATAGATTCTTGAATTCCGATCATATACCGCCGATAACATGCAGAACTTTGATGGACTTTGAATTCTGTACAATTTGCGCAGGAGCAAGGAATCACAGAGGTGAACAATTTCCAGATGAACTGCCCCCGAAGGAAAATATTGAGCCTAGCAAAGTATTCTCCTACACACCCTCAGCTGAATTACTGACATTTTAATGGCGGCTGGCTGCATCTGGAGAAACCCGGGTTTTTTTGTTTCGATTCTGTTGCACTATCTATGTGCCGAGCGAGTTGCGCCGTGCATAAGTAAATGTCGAAACGTGGGGCCCGCGGACGGATATTCTAATCTTACGCCAAGTCGATGCTTTCGGTCACGCATACAATGTGGTATGTGATAACTGGAAGATCTGGCACTCATCGCACAACACGCGCACGTTCGCACGCACACACATACGTACATCCGCCAGGCAGGAGTACGGCGGGAATATATGCAACCAGGCGCGCTGTTTCTGCTGGCGGCGCTTGTATTATTAATATCAGTAGCGGTAAGTGTGTTTTAGATAGGAAGATTATGATTTCGCATATCTGGCGTAATTGTTCGACTGGTGGGTGTAGTAGGCAACTCAGGTCTTGTTTACAACGATGGCACATATATGTGCATGTAGTTCCCACGGAAGTGGAGTACGTCTCCCTCCGGGGAACTGGAGAATCCAGTTCATGATTGATTCACGGGACGGAAAGAGCTATGAGTGCCCAACGGCCTAGGCAACGTCCAGGGTCCCAATGCATCAAGGACATACCTGGGTCCCATCATCGCAGATCACTCGGGGACTTGCCCACACAAAGACAGGCAGGAAACAACGACGAGTCCTCGGTTGAAAGGTCAGATTCCCCACAATCGAGTGAGACTCAGTCAACGCGCATCACGGGCCGATGCCGGCGCCCATGTTTTCCTCACTTTGGATGCAAGCAGTCTAGCGAAGAGCTGCAAGAGGCATCTTTTTGGGTTTCCCGAGGTGGGGACGCGCCGTTTCTAGCCAGAAGGGCGAGATGGTAAAAATCGGGGTTTGTTAGGGATCGGGACTCGACATCCACACCATCATGTAGCGGGGTAAAGGTACTCGTACTCATCATAAAAAGGAAGCATAGTGTGTGGTCGGCTGTTGTGTCGATAGGTTGAGGCGCTAGTGCGAGAGGTTTTCGTACGCTCAAGATAATCGATGCGGCGGATCGTGAGACATGGCGCTTGGGCTGTGGTTGATCTAGACGCCGGAATGGGGGTGGGTATTGGGTAATGAAAGGCCGAATAATTCTCGAGTATTCGGGAATGATTGGCGGGGAGGATTCCTTCACTTTTTTTTTCAAAAGCAAGATAGTGCTCAAGGTTATGTAGGTACCTCTAGTCCATAGCAGATTTACGAAGAGCATTGCAAGGATGAGAGCGATGAGGTGAGAAAGTTTACGAGGGGAGGGGAGGGGAGGGGGATGGCAGGTGATATATCGAGCAAACAAATCAAAACGCACAGCAGATGGGAGCTAGATGTCCTGTTTCCTAGCGCGGAAAGTCTCTTTTATCACAGCTGAGGGGTAGCCGGACTTTTGTGATAAGAGGTGTTTCTCGATGGTGTTCATCCCATGAGAGAGCTGAGATGTACCGTACTACTGTAGCTAGCTAGCATCCACCTTGAAGTACGACAGCAGCAGTAACAGCAGCAAGCAGCAAGCGAGGCTGCAAGGCGTTGCCAAAAGTTGGCATTTTTCCTGGTTGGCGGGCTCTCACACTAAGACATTTGGGAGACGTTAAGCTGCGGCTCTGTTGCCAAGACACAATTATTCCGAGCGTGCTTCCAATTGTTGTCCAGACCATGGCACGGGGGAGGGGGAGGGTTCCTGCAAAGTGCAGGCGGTTGCCCCTCTCGAGAAACCTCAACCACTCACTCCCAGTGCCAGAACCCACGAGTCCACCCAGTGTCCGTCATATCATATCAACCGTCTCTGCCACCCCCCCCCCCCCCCCCCCCCCCACACAAACCACTGATATATCACTCTGCAATTAAGTAGACTGTCTTAGAAGAGACAGGCCCGGATAGAGGGTGAGAGGGAGTTGGTGTGGTGTGTCTGTACAGTATGTCTGTGTCTGTCTGAGAGTGGGGTTTGGGGGGCAGGGGAGGGGGGGGGGGGGGCGGCGGTGGTGGACTGGACGAGGGAGCGGAGGAGACGTACGTAGGAGAGCGGTGGATCTGGGTCTATATACTTGTAGCTTTCCTGTCCTCTGCCGAATTTGATGATGGCCAATTTGCTCTTCTTCTTTTCAATTCCCTCTTCTTCTTTTCAATTCCTCTCATCTCTAGTGTTGACTGGTGAATTCTTCCATCTGCGTCCATCCTCTTGACCTGACATCTCAACTCTATCTGAGTCTCTCAGCTCCCTCTCATTCACTCACTCACTCCATCGCTGTACATCTCACTCGTCGAAAGTCTCTACGGATTAATATTGACTGCATCTTGCTCAGCTTTACGCCCCCTCCCTTCATTTCACTGCACCACACCCGTCCAATTACCCTCCCATCATCCGGGTGTCAGATTCTCGCCTTTTACTGCTTCTGCTCTTTGGTCCCTCTTTCCATTCTACGACACACACACACCCTCACCTTCATTCATTTATAGGCAGACTTCTGTGGATACCAATCTCACATCCAGTAAAGGTACACACACACACGCACACACACAATCACCGCCACCAGGGAGGGTGTCCCCCCACATAAATAGGGAACACAAACTCACCTCCAACCCCCCACCGACGTCATGACCTCCACCTCCCTCACCCCCGAGTCGACAGCGGTCCCCAACTCCACCACCACCCGCCCTCCGCCCTCCACGACCAGCCGAAAAAAGGCCCTGACCAAATCGCACTTCCTCTCCGGCGGCGCCTCTGGCATCCTCTCTGCAGTTCTCCTCCAGCCCGCCGACCTGCTCAAAACCCGCATCCAGCAGGCGCCCCCCAGCGGCTCCGCAACAGCAACGCTAATAGCGACTGTCCGTACAATCATCCGCTCCGACACGCCCATCCGCTCCCTCTGGCGCGGCACCGTCCCATCCGCGCTCCGCACCGGCGTTGGTTCCGCCATCTACTTCTCGGCCCTCAACACCGTGCGCACCTCCGTCGCCAAGTCGCGGCTCCTCCCCGGCGACGCCAATGCGCTCAAGACCGGCTCGTCCGCGCTGCCCGTGCTCAGCCCGCTGGGGAACCTGCTCACGGGCGCGGGCACCCGCGCCGCCGTCGGCTACGTCGTCATGCCCATAACGATCATCAAGGTGCGCTACGAGTCCAGCATGTACAAGTACACGTCGATGCTGCAGGCCGTGAAGGACATCCTCCGTGTGGAGGGCTTCCGCGGGTTCTTTTCGGGGTGGGGCGCTACGGCGATCAGAGATGCGCCGTATGCGGGGCTGTATATCCTGTTCTATGAGCAGAGCAAGAAGAGCCTGAGTATCCTGTACTCTACCGGGAGGAAGATGGATAATAGTGTGGCGGCAATGATCAACACTGTCAGTGGGGCGGGCGCGGGCGCGCTGGCTACGGCGATAACGAATCCCTTTGATGCGCTGAAGACGCGGATCCAGGTCGATCCTGGGCGGTACCGGAATCTGTGGCAGGCGGCGAAGCTGGTGGTCACCGAGGAGAGCGGGCGCATGAGGGGGCGGGCGCTGTTTGATGGGCTGGGGTTGAGGATTGCGAGGAAGGCTGTGAGCAGCGCGGTCGTGTGGACGATCTACGAGGGGTTGGTTAGGTGAGGTGATGTGGTAGGGCTGCGGTTATTATGTATATAGCTTGAGTTATTTGGGAGTTTTCTTTTTATTCTCTTCTCTCTCCCGTTTCTTTTGTCTTTTTTTTTCTTTTGGACGGGGGTGGCATTGCGGTGGTGGTGACGATGGGATCTCCTTTTCTTTTTTCCCTTTCTTTTTTTCTTTCCTTTCTGTATCCCCCTTTCTTTTATATTCGTTTCTTTCCTTTCCTTCTTTCGTGTCTGAGGGCTTGGTGAGCCGTTTTTTCTGCAGTTTATCACCTTTTTTTTTTTTTGTGTGTTGTGTTTATCCCGTAACGAATTGAATAAAAGGAATTCAGAGATATGGACATGTGTCGGGCAGAGGATTTCATGGGGCTTCTGATTGATTCCTAAAGTACCTTGGTGGTGGCCTCGTGCGGTGGAACTTGGTCATGGGCTGTCACTCGGTGTGTTAGTGATATGCCGTGATGCGGGCGGGACTGGGGTTGCTGTTGACTCATTAGCCGGGACGGGGACGGGGGCGGGGGGTTAGGAGTGTGCCTGTGCCAACATAGCTAGCTAGATAGAGCTCGGCGTGTAGATGGATCTTAGGGGTGAGAGGAGAGCTCCAAAGCAAGCCAAACACAACCTCCCCAAAAGCCAAAAGGAACAAGAGCCAACGAAAGCACCCCACAGAAAAAGGCCAAACTTATCGGTATAGAACCAATCCCTCGCTATGTAGTTAGCCAGAAAAAAGGATTCCCCGGCCCAGAGCCATGCGGACAGGTGTATCCTACACTTTGGGGAAAGGCCCGAGGTACCAGTCCTTGCGGATCGGCTATTGATCTTGCTTGACCCGCTTGAGGAGAAAAGCAGGAGTAGAGGGAACCACTGGCCTTTTATTCACCGTTCTTATCTTGGCCCCCCCCCCGGGGGGGGGGGGGGAGGGGGGATTGGCGGCGGGTTTTATATTGCTTTTTGATAACCTTGGCGAGAGGGTTCAACTTGTAGTGAGTTGATACGGGTTTTTTGAAATTATCGTTGGTAAAATCGGGGCTGATTTGAAAAAGGTTTTTAGGCTTAGGGAGGTGATTGCGGGAGGGCTCACGTCGTCTCCTCTAATTGGTTCTATCACTCCCCCAAGTAGAGTTGATGAGGTCTATTTAAAGACCTCAATTGCGCAAGCCTATCTCCGAGACCATCCCCATCTCCCTCCAGTGAATAGAACTATCAATACTCACTTGGTCTTTTGAACCCGTTGGTGATACCTCCCCATACCTCGTCGATGAAGCCTCTCAATACCTCGTTCATGGAACCCTAGCTTCGTTAACCCCCCCCCCCCCCCCCCCCTTAGTTAGTGTTCGCAGTCACTCTCTTCGATGACTAAGTCAATAGAACCCTTTAATGGTTTATTCGATCTCCCCGGGTTAAAGAGAGCCTGCGAATTTGACTGTTGCTTAGTCTTATTCCTCGATACCGGGTATGTTGGATGGGTGTACTGTAGATACTGGCCGCTGTGGGTACGTGCGGGTATGATATTTATGCCACCTAAATATAACCCTAACCCACCCCGCCATTTCCCCCCCGCGAGGGACTTGGGTTTCTTCAGTTCGATGTGCCGTACCTGCTTTCATGGACATCTACATAGGAGTTTGATGCATTACGAGGCGGCAAGACGACGGTCTCAGTGCTGGGACGGGGCCAGAAGGATGTGTTCTTCGATGGATGGGAGTGGGGGGTTCGTGGGGGTGGTATTTTGCTCTTATATATGGGTGTGGCAGTCGCGAGATTGGGTGCTGTGGGGGTGGTTGTGGTACACGTGGTACCTTGGATAGAAGCTCTCTTGTGCCGGCTACAGTGTCTAGAGGTATCTTGGCCTGAGATTATATCTTGATCCGTATTGCCTCCTAACTCCCAATACCTGAACGAATAGGCACTTGGACGCTAAGTACGTGGAGTGATTGTTTCAGTCCAACCGCTTCATTACAGTATCTATCCTCTCTCGGAGATATTGTATCCCTCGTGATATAGCTTCTCGACCTGCAGATACCAAGTAGAGAGTGGGAAATAGAGATAATTTGGGGAGAAACGGTAAAGATATAGACTCCAGCTGCCACCAACACAACCGAATCCAACAGATATACACTCACCTCCCACAACTAACAGTGGATACAAGACTATGCCGGCGACAATCTTGTCTAATTGTGGCTACTGGGGCAAGGTGTTGACACTTGCGGTCTCATATTAAGATGATCCGCATATATAAATCCTATATATAACACCACTATATAAAACCAACCCTAACCCTGCCCGCATACCCACCGAAATGTACCTTCGATACTTTCTCACGAAGGGTCTAGGGCCTATGCGGGGAGATTCTGGTCTTATGTTTTAGTCTTCTCTGTTCTCAAGATAAATTCTCGAGACTTCCCATCTCGTGCCCGCTTCGATTCCGGCCCCACCTTTTTTTTTTTATTTTTTCGGGCTAGCTTGAAGTTCCGAGTGAGAATCGGTGATCCGGTCACAACATCCACCACACCAACAACTAATCTTGACTACGACACAACACCTCGCTGACTACCCGCGATACTAAGCACACCGCTATACCCCGCATAAAGAGCGATTCGAGAACGAAGATGACAAATAATTTGGAGTTGGGCTGTGTGTTCCTACGCCACGTCACAATCAATGGATTATCAATCAATCAATCAAGACTACGTCTCGTCCCGGCCAAGGCGTTGAGATACCGGTCCCGGAGACAACGAGACAATGCTCCACACATAGTCGCAGCGCAAGGACATTGAATATAGAGAACATTCCCGTAAAGAATCCAAATCTAATCTTTTGGTATTGGTCAGCCACCCGGGAGTGAAGTTCAATCTAAACAACCCCCCAGCCCCGCCATTGGGAATAAAATGTTAGTGTTGTTGAAACCCACGCGTGGTGGTATACAGTAAAGATCTTTCGCCCTTTCCCGTTGGCAAAGGGCTGGAGTGAACTAAAATGTATCTCATGCATGGGCGTTTCTTATGTTAGCGAGAGGCGGAGGAGGTTAGTGGGGAGTTTTGGGTTCTTTGTGCGATATTGTTATAGTTGTAAGGCTGCATACAATTAATAAGTTAAACAAACAAGAAAATAATATCTCACGCATGCGATGGAGGGTAAGCTGCAGCGAGGCCGCAATATAATCCGCTAGGCTTCTCTCAAAGATATCTCGAGCATGCAAGGTAATAATCGAGCAAAGGGATATTATCCTCAACTTGCTAACGGGATCCAAGGCGAGGATAATATTTGATCCGGTCTAGTAATCCTCCGACTCTGCAGTGACCAGGTTTACCCAGCGTAACAATTTGGCGGCATGGGTGTCTATAGGCTATCTAAAATAGAATACTATGCTGTATGAGTACATACACGACTAGACAAGCGAACTTAGATTACGGACATACCAGGGCCCCTACACGGGCTCCCAATCTGCGTCCTCAACTACGAATATTTACAACTCCATCTCGTCGGAGCTTCCCATGCAAGAAGGGCTCTATCAGCCGTCCTTCTCCACAGGTAAATGCTAACCAGGTAAAATGCTAATCTACGATCCCGCTGGGGGGGGGGGGGGGCAACCCATTACACCTCCTCCCCCCCCAGCAGTCACGCCCTCCCCCCCCTCCGGCTCCCCTCGCCATCATCCAACTCCGTAATCGTCTCCATCTCCCGCTCCCTATCCCTCTCCCTATCTCTCTCCCGATCCATATCACCCGCATCCGTCAGCGCCAGCTCCGTGTCCGTCCACAGCGTATACCCCACCGACAGATCCGGCTCCCTCTCCTGCTGCTCCGCAATCCACCGCTTCACATTCTCATTATTGGGATCCCGCATCTCCGGCGGATACTCCGGCGCGTCGGGGCTCATTGGGAGCCCGTCGGGGCCGACGACTATCACCATGGCGTTGCGTGTCTCGTATATATTCTGCGTCAACTGTATGCGGCGGCGGCGGCGGAAGAGGAGCCACAGCGCCACGGAGATGGTGATTGCACCGACGATGGAGAGACTGACGGCTAGGGCGATTGTGCGGGTGCTGGGGGAGGAGGGGGATGGTGATGAGGAGTCAGCGAGCGGGGTGGAGGTGGGAGTTGGGGTGGAGAGTGTAGTGGTGATGGGGGCGCTACTACTGCTGTTGCTGGATGCGGTGGGGGTTGCAGCGGCGGTGAGGTTCCCGCTGTAGGGTACTGTGTAGGAGAGGTTGAACTCAGTGTTTGTGCTGATGACCGCCGTGGCCGTGAAGGAGGCCACTGTGCTGTTGCACACGCCGTCTATGTATCTCCACTGCCCTAGCGACCGTCCAAACGCATCTGCGGAGAATCCTAACGTGCTACAGCCCGGGCTACAGACTGCAAATAATATAGCTGCGTCGCAGTAGCAGGTCTGTACGGAGATATCAAGCGCAGTCCAGGCCTGGTCGTCGTGCGGGGTGCTGCCGGTGCATTCGTTGATGCCCGAGTCCCGTGTGCAGGCCTTGAAGCATGTTTCCTGTGCTGACACGAGCAGCCCGGTGTATGCCGTGATCAGAAGGAGGAATGCTAGCGGCTTCATTTTCGTTTTGTCCAAAGCGGTGATATAGGGTAGTTAACATACGCCTCGGAGCACTTGGTGGTGCCGAAAAGGTTCTAGAAAATCATGATTGGGGAACTTGTTAAGCTTATATTATATTATGGGTGGGTGCCCGCTGAAGATATAGAGAGACAGAATTGGTGGGGGGGGATAGAATATCCTGCAGCAAATGCAGTGTAATCAACATCTCTCGATACGAAAAAGCACATAAGACCTGCGGATATTTATAAAAATTAAACATTCGACGAAATGGGAAAGACGGATTCAGCTCAGCTGCCTAACTGATTGGACGAGGAGAGCAGGTGCTCACAGCCCGGAGGTGGGCGGATGTATGTACGCCGCTCACTGCAGAAGAGCTGGCTATATTAATTAAGAAGAACCCTTGCAGCAGGTCTGATTAGCGAATCCCTGTGTTACGATGTGGGAGGGGAAAACTGGACTTTATCACCGGATTCGAACAACCAGCGCCCCGGGTTGATGGGAATTTGAATCAGATCTCGTCCGTGGTAATGTTGAGGTGTCGCTCCTTCTCCCTAACGAGCCCCGATCTAGGATCTTGAATCGAATTCGGATTTAGAGACACCGTTGTTAACGTGGTCGTGGGGACCGCAGAGATTGCTTTGTGGTAGTTGCGGGTAAAGGACGCTATGTGTGTGTGTCTAATGACTTATCCGCCCCCAGGGCTTACTTATCCGAACCCCTACTACTGCCCCCGAGTAACGTACCGCGGCCTGGCGAACAGTAATCAACACTCCTATTGACTAATCCGGGTTGATCCGCAGGTCGCAATTTGTAAGTAGAAGGTCGCACAGCCCTGGGAAGTCGAGCTGAGGTAGAGAGAGTACTATTTCGGGGGGGTTGACATACGTACCAGCTAGGCGAAGTTGATCTTGCTGGTCATCGTGCGGAACGATCTGAATGATGTGCTTTTCGCATGCTTCTTGGGTTCGGGCTGTGCTTGTTCTGATCAGGGTGAGATCGAAGTGAACGAGTCAGTTGTGGTGATTGGTTGCCGTGGTAAGTGCAAGAGCTTGGAGTCTTTGGGTAACACAACGCTACTAATATGTCCCGGTGGGGGAACAGGGGTAAACTTTATATCAAAGTGCAATAAAACGGCGAAGAAACCCTTGGCCCGTGTGTACTCTAGGAGTGCGTCGACGCTGGCCTTATTTATGCGGCTGAAAAGGTAGAGGGTGCTACTAAGTCTCACTTTGGCCTCAAGCATGTGGATTTCGTACAGATTGTCTTAACCATAGTAGAACTATACATGCAGAGAGTTTGGATGGGGTATAACTTGCCTAAAGCACTTTTGTAAAGAATTTCCAAATTCGGGTTGATGAATCTTTGTTATTGTTATATTAATAATGTTATTATTTATTAATTATTTTAATATTATCAAGGTTTTTTTTTGGCCTCTATCCGGTAAGAATTAAATAATTAAAACTATAATAATTTTTCAGCGTTTCTGGTTTGAACTGATACAACTGTATTTAACATGTTTCAAGAGTAATCCCAAATAATCAAGTTTTGAGGACGCAACAACTCAATGACTACGTAAGTAATAGGTGTGAAATTAAAAATAAAAGAAATTGGAATAGCTAGGTATATATATTTGTAATTTAATATTTTGTTGCAGCACCGTTTGCCTCAATAACAGCCATGGCCTTCATATTCATACAATATAGCAATGAATTCAGTTTGGCCTCTAATATCTTTTCGCAATCATCCTGGGCTGTATCAAAATATTCAATATAGGAATGAGGCCTCTTCCCAACTTTATTTAACATGCTGCTGAAATCCACTTCGAACAGTCTGATAATCGTGATTATTAGACTGATTCAAGGGTTTTGGATTATTGTAACAAGTAGAAGTGTTTGGAGAAATGAATAATCTATATTTTGTAAGTTCTACCTATTCAAATAATCTGCTAAGACAATAATCAGCTCAAGAGGTAATTATTTGTTACACTTCTCTTTCTTCTCTTCAATAACATCTTGTATAATCATGACCAACATTTTGACCCTGAAGATTTTGCTGCAAATCGCATCTGCAGTCGGGTAGTATCAGGCGCTACACTGAGATCTGAATATCATGCAAGACGCTGTGTTAACAGGTAACTCATATCTCGATGAGCTTCTCGACTGTAACAATCCCGAGCTGGTAAAACAAGTAATGAGAATTTTGAGAGAGACTTTTTTGGTATTGTACTAATGGATGATGGAAAGGAACCTACTTTCTCCTACCCGTGCTATTGTACATCAGCAAGCTCTGTCATTTCTCATTGCGCAGAGCCTAAATCCTGGCGCGAAGTTTGCGCCCTGAACACCAGATGTGTCTGACGCTGCCAGAGGATAGCACTCCCGTCAGGCTCAGTCAAGCGATATCGCTTACATCAGGAGAGCACTCGTCAATGCTTTTCTCTCCAGGCAGCGCCGGGAGATACTGCTCACGTCAGGAGAGCACTCACCAATGCCCTTTCCGCTAGGTGCCGTCAGGCTATACACTTCATGCTTGGAGAGCACTCGCTAATGCCCTTTTCGCCAGACGTCACCAGGATATACCCTTCACGTATCGAGAGCACTCGCCAATGGCCTCTTCACCAGGTGCCGCCAGGCTCTACTTTTCATGCCTAGAGAGCACTCGCTAATGCCCTCTTCGTTAGGCACCGATCAGGGATATCACCTGCGTCCAGAGAGTAACTGCCAATACTTCCTTTGCCAAGTTCCTTTGAAGAATATTACTCGCCTCCGGAGGGCACTCACCAATGCTCTCTCTGCCTATCTCTGTATAACGGAGCCATTTCAACTGTCTGGTGTATGAGTATACACAGGGTCCAGTTACATGCTGAGAGTTATTGTTAAAAGCCAGTTGCACGGTGATATGCGAGTACCGGCAGTGTAGTTAGCTACCAGCTCTTAGAGTAACTACATTCCGGATGGTAGCAAGGGGATCTATTCATGGGAGCAATGACTGATGAGTCTGTGCCTCGCCAGTGACTAGAAGACCGGCCAGAGTGAAGCTCTGATTTTCCAGTGATCCTCTATATCCTCTGAGCATTGTAAGTCCGCTGAAGTGCAGGGGCTATGCTAGGGAAGTCTACAATAAGTGAAAAACTCTACAGCAATGATTAAGCTTACACCTGATCGGCAGCTCATTCATGCAAGCCCTCGGTTGTGTGGCAACAAAGGCTGCAGGTGTTACAAAGGCTTTGACTAAGGGTGGTTGCCTTGGGTATCGGAAACACCTGCTGACGCTTAGAGAAAAGCGGGGTAGCGGTGGTATTGTTTCCGGCACAAACGAAAGGCCCCACCGGAACTTAGTAAGGAGTTAGGAGCAGAGAATAGAGGCCTTCGGAGTATAAGTACTCAGGTTCATTGTCGCCCTTCAGTCCTGTTCTCTCCAGTCTTCATCAGAAAGAAAACCAAGTTCTTATCGGTAGTAGAGCCCTTAAAGATTATTGAGTTCTAGCGATAGTATCTTTGAATAATCTGCAACCTGATTGTCTATCTTGCATGGCCGTCTCTATTCTATCCGATTCTGTTTCTCTTAGAAAGGACCCCCGTTACAGATAATCTTTAAGGCTCAAGTCACCTTCAGATTATTCTTCCTCTATACAAAAATGTCCGCCTTCTCGGCTCCAGATGCACCCCTTCAGATTGAATGGCAGCCGGTGCCCCTCCAGCTTGATGCCACTGAGCAGACACAGCTTGTCAGGAAATCTAGGACTGCTCTACAGACCTTCATTCCCAGCTGTGAGCCTGCCTGGCAGGATACCGATGAGGTTTCCCTTCAACAGTTCTTCACAGAGCTCCAGACCTACCTCCAGCATAGCCTGCAGAATCAGTTGATCCAAGGCAGTCAGGCACTACTCCTTGTACAAGAGCGACAGGCAGCACAAAATGCCCTGATGGCCGAAGCTCTTGAGTACATGAAGTTGGAAGTCAACTCTGTCCAGGAAGAACTCCGGAGGTATACAGAAAGAGATGAACTCAATCCCGATGCTATAGAGATTGAGTGGACAAACCCAGCCACTCCACCATACTTTGTTGTGGAGATACAGAGAGCCCTTGATGAAGGAAGACCGGTGATGGGTAGACCAGGAACTCCGGTACCAAATACACACTCCAGGTCCTCTTCCCGGGCAGCTACCAGAATAATGCAGCGGAAGACCAGCCCCTTCGCAGCATTTCCAGTCCGATCCACTAGGAGAGTTGTCCCTATTGTGCAGCCAGTGGTGGGAGCATCTCCCTTACCTGCCAGCCATTTCAGTGGAGTACTTCCATTCCTTGAAAGAGCCAGTCCACCCTTTGACTATGAAGGAGAGCTCTACCCAAGTGCAGGCCAAGGACCTCCTAGCCAACTAGCCAGGAACCCCGGAAGGTTCACCATGTCTGGGGCCACTCAAGGAGCACCAACCTCACTATTGGCTACCAACCCGGCACCAGTAGCACCTGTGGCCCCTCCTGCTGCAGTCAACGCTCCCCCTCCAGCTAATGCACAAGGTGGAAGCGGTGGAAATCAGAACCCTCCAACTCCTGCGGCCCATGCTCCCGCTCCCGGAGATTCAGATGGTTCTGATAGTTCAGATTCGGAACCAGAAGGTGGTGACAGAAGAGGCTGGCGGAGATACATTAAGAATAATCTGTAACGGCAACTATGGATTTCAGTTAGGTGATAAGTTGAAATGGGACTAGGAGGTATTGCGCAGTGGGATTAGGATCTGAAATTGGGATTTCTGTTATGTTCTTTCAGTTTCTGTTACGCAAAGGTATTAGTCATCATCGGACTATGGTTGGATATATAAGGAGGTATTGTCTCGTGTCTTTACTTGTTTTCTCTTTTTCTTTATTTCTTTACGCAACCTCTGTATTCTACTCCACCAATAGTATTCTTGTTCTACGCTACGTCATAGGGTTCAGTTTGACTGTCAGACCAAACGGAGCCATCCCATAGTCCATAGTCACGAATATCTTCTACTACGTTCTTGCCTCGGTTGTATTCCTTGGCACTATAGTCTCTCATCCATAGACCTACATTATAGAAGCTGGAGAAGCAACAAAGAGATTTGTTGGCTATGATGTCCCAGCAGTACCGACCTCCGGCCGCCTCTCCCCCTTCTGCTACTACCAGGGCTCGAGAACCAAAGGCGCCATCACCCTCCAAATTCCAGGACAAAGCGGAGCAAGTGGAGACCTTCATCCGGCAATGTGAGAATGTTTTCTCCATTGAGAGCCTGTCATTCACCTCTGAGGAGGTCAAGATCTGATATGCAGGCAACTTGATGGAAGTAGAGGCAGCGATCCGATGGTATGAGGCATACCACAACTCAATCGATTAAACCTCCGCCAACCATCTTGCTGGTATGCCGGTGCAGTTGGATCAGAGATGGAAGCGCTGGGATTCCTATGTGGATGCTTTTAGAGCAGCCTTCGGCGAAGCCATCTCTAGAGATGATGCTGTAGCCCATTTGAATACACTTACCCACACGGCTCGAGGAGGAATAGACATCTTCCTGAATACTATTATTCAGCTGATGTGGAAGACTGGCTATGAGGGTCAGTTGGTGGATGATAAGATCAACAATTCCCTCCTTCCGGACCTGGGCATGAGTTGGGCTCTTTTCAATCCCAAGCTAAAGTCCTTGATGGAACGGATAGCTGCTCTAAGAGAGTTAGGGCACACCCATGAGAGTTATAAAGGGTTGGCAGCTGAGAAAGCGCCCCCTCGGATCAAGAAAGATCCTCCTGCTGAGAAGGACCGACAGCCTAAGAGGAAAAGAGAAGCTGTGAGCTCCTCTGGACCTCAGAAGGCTCCCGGACCTAAAGACAAAGCGGCGGAACTGAAGGGTATCCCGGGGGATATTCTAGAAGAAAGAAGGAAAGCAGAAGTATGCTTGAAGGTATGATCTTTCGGTACTCCCTATTGGTAGAGTGCATAGACTGACTTGTGCAATAGTGCGGCAAGTCCAGATGCAAATGGACCGATTGTTGGTCCAAGGAACCTACTGTTGTCCGAGTGGCAGCAGTGAGAGTACAAAAGTGGAAAAGAGGGAAGGGTAATTCCAACTCTCAGAAGAAGTCTAAAGTGGCTGCTGTAGTAGCAGAGGATCCACTTGTTGTACTCCCGGAGGTTACAGAAGATTTTGTTTTCCAGCCTGAGCAAGACTCGGACAATGAAATCATCTGGTAGAAAAGTGTCTGTTTGAGTCTATGTTTACTAGTTTTCTTTTATACGAGTTTTTCAGTTTCTATGTTTCTCTTGAATAAATTATGATTGTCTTTCCGCCTATTTGATTGCTCCAAGCACTCTGAGGATGGGTTTAAGACCCGAAACAGCTGGTCTGTCAGTGCTCTACCAAAGTTACATTTACTACCAAGCCACTTCCAAACCGCTGCTAAAAAGACTACTACATAATATACCTGCTATATTACCGTTTGGGAATAGAATCAAAAGATCTTTGATCTTAGTAGTGCCCGAAGCTGTTAGCTGTGTTGAAAAGGCAAAGAGAAACGAGTTTAGAACCCGCCGTTAAGCAAAGAAGGTTGGAACAGAGGCTTCCCTCCTTACCATTACATGGAAAAAGACCTATACTGAAGGCAGGACTGTCATGGATGGTCAAAGGAAAGGATGAAGGCGCCCAAGGGTCTTTCCTGTTTAACACCGGTTGTATAGGAGCTATCCTCAACCAGAGTTTTGTCAGAAAACATGGAATTCCCTTAGTGCGACGGGATCAACCTCTGACAATGTTTGATGCTCAAGGAGATGTCATGATGGGAGGAGGCGAGTATTACACTCACCCGGTCTGCATGACTATGGGAGATCATAAGGAGACACTCCGATGGGAGGTGGCTACTTTGGAAGAAGGAATGACCGGCTACCTGCCAATTAGTTGGGCTAGGAAGCATAACCCGGACATCAATTGGGAACTCAACACCATGAACTGGAGGAGTGACTACTGCAAGCAGAATTGTCTCCCAACGGCCACCAAGATTGAACTGATCTCTCCATATCAGATGCTGGAAGAAGAAGAGACAGTCTATCAATTAATTGCTTCAGTATGACATGATGAGGACGGAGGTGATATTGCTGAGAAAATACACCACCTATACCGGAAATGGGCTGATGTGTTCAGTCAAGAAAAGATTGAGGAAATGCCGCCGCATTCCTATAATAATTTGAAAACCAAACTCTTGCCTGGCACTGCTCCCCCATTTGGCCCGCTGTATCCATGTTCCGCTCCAGACTTGAAGGCCCTCTGAGAGTACCTGGACAAAGAATTGGCTTTAGAAAAGATCTCTAGATCTAATAGCCCTGCAGCAGCACCTATACTGTTCATTCCTAAGAAGGATGGGACATTGCGGATCTGTGTGGATTACAAGGATTGAACAAGGTCACTGTCAAGGACAAGTACCCGTTGCCTATCATGAGCGAGCTCAGAGACAGGTTGTTCAAGGCCAAGATCTTCACAAAGATAGACCTGAAGAACGGCTTCAATTTGATCAGAATAGCTGAAGGTGATGAGTGGAAAACCGCTTTCAGAACCCGCTATGGACTGTATCAGTATAATGTGATGCCTTTTGGTATATGCAATGCTCCCTCCGCCTTCCAGGCAATGATCAATGATGTGCTAAAGAAACTACTAGATGAAGGAGTAGTTGTCTATATTGAAGTCATCCTCATCTACTCGGAAACTGAGAAAGAGCATGAGCTACTGGTCATGAACATCTTACAGAAGCTAAGGGAAGCTAAGCTCTGTGCCTCGATCAGTAAGACATCCTTCCATGTCCGAGAAGTAGAGTACTTAGGCTATCACATCTCGGAGAAGGGAGTATCTATGTCAGAAGGCAATGTGGAGGCAGTTAAGGAATGGCCAGTCCCTGAGAATATCAAGGCAGTACAGGCATTCCTCGGATTTGCAAACTTCTATCGCCGCTTCATTGAAGGCTTCAGTAAAGTTTGCAAACCATTAACTGATCTCTTGTAAAAAGATAAGAAATGGTATTGGATAGTAGTATATGAGCAAGTCTTTGAAGAACTCAAGAGGTTGTTCACAAGCGCTCCAATCCTCCTTCATTTTGACCCTAGTAGGAGAACAGTGGTTGAAACAGATACCAGTGATTTCGCTAAGGGGGCAATGCTCTCTCAGTATGGGGACGATGGAAAGCTACATCCGGTGGCATTCTATTCTAAGAAGTTCTCCCCTGCTGAGATCAACTATGACATTCATGATAAGGAAATGGGAGCTATTGTAGCCTCTTTCCGGGAATGCGAATACATGCTCAAATCTTGTGAGCAGGAGATCACGGTTTTCACAGACCACAAGAACTTGGAGTATTTTAATTCTACCAAGGTTCTCACTAGGCGGCAAGCTAGATGGTCTGAAGACCTCGCAGGCTACAATTTTAAAGTTGTCTACAGACCGAGAGAAAAGAATGGCAAGACTGATGTGCTATCTAGGTGCTGGGATCACCGCCTTGGAGAGGGAGGTGAAACTCTGCAGCCGGAGCCACAGATCTTTTTTAGGCCATATCAATTGGTTTTAGATCCTGCAAAGCTAGCGGCTGTCAGGGTGAATCAATTGCAGAACACATTCTTAGAGCGCCTATCTGCGGCTGCTAAAGAGGATAGCTTCTGGCAGGAACTGCACCGCTCTCTGGTTGAAAGGAAACCAAATTTGGACCAGAACTTGTCAGTCAAGAACGGTCTCTTCTTCTACAAGAATAGATGGTATATACCTAAAAACAAGAAGCTTCAGATGGAAATACTGTCCAATACCCATAACTCTAAGGTGGTTGGTCATTTTGGCCAATTTAAGACACTAGAGTAGGTGAAAATTAACTTCTTTTGGCCCAACATGGATAAGGATGTTGAGGAATACGTCCGGAGCTGTGACAGCTGCCAGAGGAATAAGACCTCAAGACACAATAAGTTTGGTATGCTCCAACCATTGGAGATACCCTATCGGCCATGGACTTCCATCTCTATGGACTTCATTGTGGAGTTACCAGAATCTAATGGGTTTACAAAGATTTGGGTAATAGTGGACCATTTTTTGAAGATGGCACACTACATCCCTCTTCCTACCCTCAATAAAACGGAAGATTTGGCTAAGTTGTTCTTGAAGGAAGTTTGGAGACTCCACGGTTTACCTGATGATATAGTCTTGGACAGAGATAGCAGTTTCATCTCTCACTTTTGGCAATCTCTCATGAGTCTCCTCAATGTGAAGCTGAAGATGTCCACATCTTTCCACCCCCAAACGGACGGTCAAACAGAAAGAGTTAACCAGACCCTGAAACATTACTTGTGGAGTTATTGTTCATATCAACAGGATGACTGGGCAGAACTCTTGCCTTTAGCAGAGTATGCATATAACTCGGCGGTCTCTGAGTCTACGAAAGTATCGGCTTTTTATGCCAACTATGGATATGAACCCAGGACCAACTGGCCGGCCCCAAAGGAAGGAGTAGAATGGAACAATCCAGCGAGTGAGGTCATGATATCTCAATGGGAATCTATCTGGCAGGCTTTGAATGCCAGCTTGAGTAAAGCTAGATTAAGGATGGCCCGGTGGTATGATGTTCATGGCATGGTACCGCCCGAAATCAAGTCCGGAGATGAAGTAATGTTGGACTGGCGCAATGTTCA